GGGCTTGGATAGATGATTTGTTTATTATTGAAGTAAAAAGAATGATCTTAAAGAATCTATGTTTTAACAATTGACTAATTTTAACCACAATGTCACTTCAACATTCTATATATCCTATTTCAATAGTTTTCTGTGAATATACATCCTGATAAGATTGTTTTGATTTAATTTTAGTGTGAAATATTTCTATGTACAGTTGCAAAGCTAACTACTTCCATATCACACAACATAAGAACAAGATAAGTTTAGTGTTATTGTAAAATTAAAAAAGAATCATTTGCTCATTTCTGTTACATCTGTCCACTTCAGGACCTTATTTTGAAAACACCAAAAAAAAAAATATATATATATATTTATATTTGTCCAAAATTCATTTTAGCTTTAATATTATGTTGATAAATTGTTGGTCCACTGAAGGTAAGAGTAACATATAATCTATTTCATGTAAAATATTTTCGTAGAAAAAAATAATATCAGTTGCTTTGGAGATTTAGCGTAAAACTCCCTTTGTGAGATTTAGTAAGCACCATAATTGAGCCGCGTCATGACAAAACCAACATAATGGCTTTGCGACCAGCATGGATCAAGACCAGCCTGCGCATCCGCAGTCTGATCAGGATCCATGCTGTTTGCTTACAAACCCTATTACAAGTAGAGAAATTGATAGCGAACAGCATGGATCCTGATCAGACTGCGCGGATACGCTGGTTGGTTTTGTCGTGACGCGGCTCATATAAATTTAATACTGATGATAGGGACGGATGTTACAGACAACTGTTACATAATTGCCGGAGAAAATGGCAATTTTTGTAACATTTTCATAGTTAGACTATCAATAAGCACCAGTAACATGGCAAATTTATTTATTTGATCATCTGATTTCCTTTGAACTTAAAATTGTTCTTCTTCAATTCTTCATAATATAATTTCATTCACTACTGAGTGATATTCTTTATACATTTGATAACCACTGAACATAAGAGCATTTACTAAAAGACCTAGTCAATTTTCACATCCTATGCAGTCCTGTTACTCATCCAAAACATAATAATCAACACCAAAATACATAAAAAAAAGAAAAATCACCAAACAAAATTAAATAGAATTATTACACTCTAATTATTATTAATATTTTTTCTTAAAGTAATACATTTTTTGTCATTAAACATACTACCATATATTACAAGAATTTCTTTGGAGGTCCTTAAACGCCCTTTGTGCCTCCTTAGCGGTCCATAGCGGTCCGGCAGTTCATCGAAAGCATAAATTCTATCACTAAAATTATATTTTTTCTTAAAATTATACATTTTTTGTCATTAAACATACTACCATATATTACAAGAATGCCCTAGGAAGTATTTTAAGGTCCTTTGTGCCTCCCTAGCAGTCCTTAGCTGTCCTGCAACCATCATCAAAGCATAATTCTATCACTAAAATTATATTTTTTTCTTAAAATTATACATTTTTTGTCATTAAACATGCTACCATATATTACAAGAATGCCCTAGGAAGTATTTTAAGGTCCTTTGTGCCTCCCTAGCAGTCCTTTGTGCCTCCCTAGCAGTCCTTAGCTGTCCTGCAACTCATCAAAAGCATAATTCTATCACTAAAATTATATTTTTTCTTAAAATTATACATTTTTTGTCATTAAACATACTACCATATATTACAAGAATGCCCTAGGAAGTATTTTAAGGTCCTTTGTGCCTCCCTAGCAGTCCTTAGCTGTCCTGCAACTCATCAAAAGCATAATTCTATCACCAAAATTTTTTTTTTTTTTAAATTATACATTTTTTGTCATTAAACATACTATCATGTATTATAACAATGCTTTAGAAGGTACTTTAAGGTCCTTTGTGCCTCCCTAGTTGTCCTTGGTGCCCCTAGGAGGTATTTTAAGGTCCTTTGTGCCTCCCTGACATTCCTTAGCGGTCCTGCAACTCATCGAAGACATAAATTCTATCACCAAAATTATATTTTTTCTTAAAATAATACATTTTTTTATCTATTAACTTACTACAATATAATATAAAAATGCCCTAGGAAGTAATTTAAGGTCCTTTGTGCCTCCCTAGTAGTCTTTTGTGTACCTGAGCAGTCCTTAGCGGTCCAGCAACTCATCGAAAACATAAATTCTATCACGAAAATTATATTTTTTTTCTTAAAATAATACATTTTTTGTCACTAAACATACTACCATATATTATAAGAATGTTCAAGGAGTGAGTTTAAGGTCCTTTGTGCCTCGCTAGTAGTCTTTTGTGTACCTGAGCAGTCCTTAGCGGTCTGGCAACTCATCGAAAAAACATAAATTCTATCACCAAAATTTTATTTTTTCTTAAAATTATACATTTTTTCTCATTAAACATACTACCATATATTATAAGAATGCCCTAGGAGATATTTAAATATCCTTTGTGCCTCCCTAGCAGTCCTTTGTGCCCCTAGGAGGTATTTTAAGATTCTTTGTACCTCCCTAGCAGTCCTTAGCGGTCCTCCAATTCATCGAAAACATAAATTCTATCACCAAAATTATATTTTTTCTTAAAATAATACATTTTTTATCTATTAACTTACTACAATATAATATAAAAATGCCCAAGGAAGTAATTTAAGGTCCTTTGTGTCTCCCTAGCAGTTGTTAGTGCACCTGAGCTGTCCTTAGCGGTCCGGCAACTCATTGAAAGCATAAATTCTATCAACAAAATTATATTTTTTTTTAAAATTATACATTTTTTCTCCCTAAACATACTACCATATAGTATAAGAATGCCCTAGGAGGTATATAAATGTCCTTTGTGCCTCCCTAGCAGTCCTTTGTGCCCCTTGGAGGTATTTTAAGATTCTTTATACTTCCCTAGCAGTCCTAAGCGGTCCTGCAACTCATCAAAAACATAAATTCTATCACCAAAATTATATTTTTTTCTTACAATAATACATTTTTGTCTATTAACTTACTACGATATATTATAAGAATGTTCTAGGAGGGATTTGAAGGTCCTTTGTGCCTCCCTAGCAGTTGTTAGTGCACCTGAGCAGTCCTTAGCGGTCCGACAACTCTTCAAAAAAACATGAATTTTATCACTAAAATGATATTTTTTCTTAAAATTATACATTTTTTTGTCACTAAACATACTACCATGAATTATAAGAATGCCCAACAGTTATTTAAGGTCCTTTGTGCCTCCCTAGGAAATATTTATAGGTTTTGGTGCCTGCCTAGCAGTCCTTTTCGCACCTGAGCAGTCCTTAGCGGTCCGGCAACTCATCGAAAGCATAAATTCTATCACCAAAATTATATTTTTTTCTTACAATAATACATTTTTGTCTATTAACTTACTACGATATATTATAAGAATGTTCTAGGAGGGATTTGAAGGTCCTTTGTGCCTCCCTAGAGCAGTTGTTAGTGCACTGAGCAGTCCTTAGCGGTCGGACAACTCTTCAAAAACATGAATTTTTTATCACTATAATGATATTTTTCCTTAAAATTATATATTTTTTGTCACTAAACATACTACCATGAATTATAAGAATGCCCCAACAGTTATTTTAAGGTCCTTTGTGCCTCCCTAGGAAATATTTATAGGTCTTTGTGCCTCCCTAGCAGTCCTTTTCGCACCTGAGCAGTCCTTAGCGGTCCGGCAAACTCATCGAAAGCATAAATTCTATCACCAAAATTATATTTTTTTCTTACAATAATACATTTTTGTCTATTAACTTACTACGATATATTATAAGAATGTTCTAGGAGGGATTTGAAGGTCCTTTTGTGCTCCCTAGCAGTTGTTAGTGCAACTGAGCAGTCCTTAGCGGTCGGACAACTCTTCAAAAACATGAATTTTATCACTAAAATGATATTTTTTCTTAAAATTATACATTTTTTTGTCACTAAACATACTACCATGAATTATAAGAATGCCCCAACAGTTATTTTAAGGTCCTTTGTGCCTCCCTAGGAAATATTTTATAGGTTTTTGGTGCCTGCCTAGCAGTCCTTTTCGCACCTGAGCAGTCCTTAGCGGTCCAGCAACTCATCGAAAGCATAAATTCTATCACCAAAATTATATTTTTTTCTTACAATAATACATTTTTGTCTATTAACTTACTACCATATATTATAAGAATGTTCTAGGAGGGATTTGAAGGTCCTTTGTGCCTCCCTAGCAGTTGTTAGTGCACCTGAGCAGTCCTTAGCGGTCCGACAACTCTTCAAAAACATGAATTTTATCACTATAATGATATTTTTTTTTAAATTATACATTTTTTGTCACTAAAACATACTACCGATGAATTATAAGAATGCCCCAACAGTTATTTTAAGGTCCTTTGTGCCTCCCTAGGAAATATTTATAGGTCTTTGTGCCTGCCTAGCAGTCCTTTTAGCACCTGAGCAGTCCTTAGCGGTCCTGCAACTCATCGAAAGCATAAATTCTATCACCAAAATTATATTTTTTTCTTACAATAATACATTTTTGTCTATTAACTTACTACCATATATATTAAGAATGCTCTAGGAGGGATTTGAAGGTCCTTTGTGCCTCCCTAGCAGTTGTTAGTGCACCTGAGCAGTCCTTAGCGGTCCGACAACTCTTCAAAAACATTAATTTTATCACTAAAATGATATTTTTTCTTAAAATAATACATTTTTTGTCACTAAACATACTACCTTGTATTATAAGAATGCCCTAGGAGGTATTTTAAGGTCCTTTGTGCCTCCCTAGCAGTCTTATGTGTATCTGAGCAGTCCTTAGCGGTCCGACAACTCATAAAATGTTCACCAAAATCATATTTTTTCTTAAAATTATAATTTTTTTTTCACTAAAAATAATACAATGTAATATAAGAATGGCCTAGGAGGTATTTTAAGGTCCTTTGTGCCTCTTTAGTAGTCCTTTGTGGCTCCTTAGCAGTCCTTAGCGGTCCTTAGCAGTGTTTAGTAGGACCCTATTTATCTGTTTATAAAGAAAGAAAGATGTAGATAATTCGTTTGCAAGTACCTGATATTGGCGAAATTGGTACGGAGCTGTCATCCCGAAACCCGAGCTTAACGTACTCTTTCTTCACTTCTATACACGATAGATCCAAACTTTGAGCGATATCACAAAGATTTGACATAAAAATAATAAGAACACACAATTGTGTTAGGAAACTTGAACGCGAGTCGGCCATTTTCGGATAGTCAGTTAAAAACGTTAAAAGATAGACGTTAACTCATCCAAGAGATACGTAATCCCGAAAATTATATATATCCATTTTTTGATGAACTCATTTCATAAAAATCCAACGTTTACATTTTGAAAAACACGGTAATTAGGTCGATTTTTTGTAGAGTACACATGCGCCGACTTTACTTTGATTATCCACAAAGGCAACTGTAATTTGTATATTTTGGCTATTCCATTTACCTCCCCATAAAATTGTGATCAGTAACTGTAGTTACTTTTAACTTCGTTTTAAATAAGTTTCTTTCAAAAGCTCTTTTCAGTGGAAATAATAAGTTACATCCAATATTTTGGAGAGGATATTTCTTTTACTTAAACCATGCCACTTCATTAATTCGGAGGAGGAATATGAGGGGGATAATTACAACAGCTGTCAGTCAATTTTAACTACCAACAAGAAAGTTAACTAACAAAAAGGCAAGAAGAGTTGAAACAGTGATGTCCAATCTTTACTATCATTTATATAAATCAGAGTTTGTTTTCGAAGATAATTTTAACATGTTTCTTTGGTATCTGCCTTCATCTTCGTTAAAATTTAGATGTATGAATAATAAAATGAGAACTTGCGTATTATGTACTTTATGTGAGTCAAACCAACTGGGTGACGAATTTCAATATCTCTTTTATTGTTCACATTTTGATCACATTTTGTTTATACAGTAGACGTTAATTTTTTCAAACCGTATTATTATAGAATACCTATTACATGAAAATTTGAAGATCTTATGGATAGTAAAAACAAATAACATTGTAAAAAAATCTTGCTTTGTTTTGTAAAGAAATAATAACAACATGCAAATAATAAGTATAATATTGTATCATTAGTCCCCTAGAAAATCTTGTTAATGAAGCACAAATTTTGGTCATTATGAAGAATCTAGTCATATCATTATTTTATTTTACGGGTACAATATAATTGTCACTCATTCTCTTGTTTTTATGTATATTTTTCTGTCTTCCTGTTGAGACATGTTCACAATTGTATTTCATGTTGCATGTTCTTATGAACCATGGCAGTATTGAATAGAAATATAAAAAAATCAGACATCAGTAAGGATCTAAAATTAGAACTTCTCTTTCCAATTCAAGAGAACATGGGTTTGATCACAAACAGGCAATATCAAAGATAAGTAAAAATTAAAATATATTAGTTATCTCTCATCATTTTAAACAGAAAGTGGATGAGATCTTTAATAGTTTCAAAGATGTAGGTTACTAAATTATCTATGTCTCTGATAGTTTCGGTATAAAAAAACCAAAATAACACCCGCCCTCTGGGATATTTGATTATTATAAATATTATAATACAGACTCTACTATTGTTTCATATATTTTCAACATACAGTACTGACTAAATCTTAATTTGGGTTTATGTGCTAAATCTTTTATGTTCTTCGCACTTTAAATTGATAAAATATTTTCAATCTTTAAAGGTCCTCTAAATCATGTGAATGTTGCTTTTCCTTTTGATTCTTTACTTTTTACTTTCGAGATTCAAGAGACTGCACAGTGCACTTGAAATACTAAACTAAACTTAAAAAATCAAATGTAACTGGTGTAAGCTTCCTCACAATATATTATCATGGCACTGTCAAACTGTCAAATATGAACAAAACACAAATCCTCTCAATTTATGCAGAAATAGCAAAACTCATATTGTTTTTTTTATAATAAATTCACATGCAATGGAAACATACGGTTAATCTTGCAAAAATGAGACTATTCGAGGTAGATAGTTTTATATATCTAAACACAGCATTTTCGTTTTTATGGTGGGTGAGTCTGTTGAAACCACGACTTTAATTACAAAATTGAAACCGTGGTTGAAACGAATTTTAAACAAGAATTTATGTTTGTATAAATCTATTTATACGAGTACAACCTCAATATATATATGTAATTTATAGTAACATGTAATTTTGCTATTTTTAATGCTTTTGACTGAGGGATCACGTTTTTACAGATATTTATACATCACAACAGCAGGTGTCGAGTGCTGTGAGGCAGCCTTAAAAAGTTGTCCCGTATTTCACATTAGTGTTGTTATATTTTTCTGGTCCTTTGGGATCAGTGAGTCCAGCACTGTTAAGTGTTAAGAATTGAGTACCGATCAAGCCGGAGCTAGGGGGCGTGAGGGGTGTTGCATATTTCATTATCCCTCATGCACAGACTCAGTCAAACCGAGTCTGCAATTTTCATGAAATTTAGCTGTTTTTAATGCTTCCGAGGGGTCACCTTTTGCTGATATTTGTTAATGATTTATCAATTGAGAAATCACATTAAAATTGTAAAAAAGCTGCTTTGTATGAAAAAATGCACATAATAACTTCATTTATAGTGTATTAAGTCTAACTTCTTGTCAAACTTGACACACATACACACCAATTAGATATTGGCTAAGAATCTTAATAATGAAACAACTCATTTACATGTTATTATTGTTAACATACTATTTACTTAGTTAAGACCAAGAAATATATGTAGTGGAGTTCACAGAAAGCAATTTATGTTTTTGTAAGTTTTATTTCTATAAAGAATAAGCCTGTAATGAAATAAAATAAAACATCACAATACTATACAAATATCTTAATATACAAATTCATTTCACAAAAATATAGCACACTACATGTTTATTACAAAACAATTCAAACTACAATTTAAAATAATTCATTAATAAATAAATATTGATATATACCAGCTTGTGTAGAAGTACTCTACGACAGAATAAACAACATGACCTAAACCTAAGGCATTATGGTGTTCTGTCACCAAGCTTGCTATTCGTGCGTTCAATACATTCAAGGCATTCGTATTCCATAACAGTGATCCTCTCTAGGACCACACCCTTTGACAAAGTCATAACAAGTAAACCAAATAGCCCTGAAACTTAGGTTCACTTGACCTTGACCTGCCCTCTCCACAACGTACACGTCCAGAAGAGTCTACATAAGTACTTCCTTCATATTTTCAAAGAATTCTTTTTATTCAGTTTCTAAATAAACTTTAAGTACTGTATATCAATTGTAAAAAAACTGCTGTTTTTACCGAGGTTTAATCCAAATGCTAAAAGAGCAGAGTAGAAAATTAAGAATTTTATCAAAAATAAAATTAAAAAGCTTTCATGTATTTTATTTATTGAATGTAGTTAGATCATCTGTTACTTAACTTAGAATTAGCGATCAGAAATAAGATATTGGAACCGGACGGTATCGAAATATACCTGTTGATAATAGAATTTGCAAATGCTTTTCATTACAAAAATAACCGAAGAACACTATGTTGAGATGTCATCTTTATGATTCTAAAAGATATCTGTTAATTTCTAGAGTAACTGGTAATGTTAAAAAAATACAACAAACTTTAAAATGTCTGAACAGTTTGTGTATATGATATGTATCGATTATGATGAAAGTATTACTGCAATAGCAAACTTTATTCATAACTGTTTTTCATCTAGATTTACATTTCTAAACAGTAACCAAGAACTCATGAGTTTTCATGTAAACTGTTTTTGTATACAACATGGATCAATAGAACTTTTTTGGGGGTCAGCAGAATGTGATTATGTGAGGTATAGGATCATTTGACTTGTTTTGGTTACACATGGGTTATGTAGTTTTATATTGTTATATCCCCACCTACAGACGCCCTGAATTGTAGTTTTAGTTTTCTATAAAAACAGACTAAAACAGCAAAATATCAGCAAAAACTGGCTTGGATAAATATAGGTCATTCCATTCTCGATAATCTAAAACACTGCACACTTTTAGTATCAGACACTTTTATGCGCTTTGCCATCATTGTCAAATTCTATTTCGGAGTCTTACACATGAATTGTACTTTAAAGCTGAATGCTTCAGAAGAGCGAAAATACCCCAAGACAATCAAACATCAGAAAAATGTACTACGAGTTTGAGAAAAGTAAAACGATTTGAGATTCACGTAATAATAATCATTTACATGTTATGTTCGATAATAAGCAGTATTTATAACCATATTTCTACTGCATGGCTAACGCAGTACTTAGGGTCTATTTGTGCATATTTTGACCTTTTTGTGGTTATTAACGTGAATAATAATTATTGTTAGTGTCGTTTGCAATGTGAAAAATACGTTGTTTGTTCTCTTCACAATATTTTACGTTAAATGATTTTACAATTTTTTATGAATATTAATTCAAATATTTTTGCTTTCTCTGGAAATTAGGAGAACCGATGAAAGACTCCTTATGTTTTATAAGATAGTGACACTCACATCCTCTTTCTTTCAGACAGATTCTCACTCCATGCGCGGATTTATATCACTATATATAATATAAATCCGTGCTCCATGTAACTACTACAAATATTCCTTTTTTTTCCTTTGGAACTTACTGCCATCTGAACTTGTGTAGACCCTTACCCTGAACCAATTTAAACAGGGAGTGACCATTCTTCCTAACCGTGTTTAAAATGAAAACATTGTTTTTATCTGTTTTAGCTATATACTTTCTTTTTTTACTAACACTATCAACTTTTTTTTAAATTTCAACTCACTATTAATACACGTACAGAAAATACCGTTATTCTCTCTATTAAACTCTCGCACATACACGCACCTGCACGTAATACTCGAAAGAGGGTGTTGCAGTAGATACAGACAAATATAGATATGGAGACTTGCTGCTTTAAGTCACGTCGGATGCTGCTCTGCATTGTTGACTTATTTAGGTGGACGACTGACTCCGGAATCATACCAAACATATTAGATACTGAGAAAGTATAGTCTACGGTTAAAAAGAAATAAAGAAAAAAAAAGACGATATTATTTAAATTTCTTTTTGGTAGTTAATCTTCGATCTTCCATTTGATTGGACAGTATTTTTAGTATGCGAAGTGATTTCCATCATGGAGATCTCCACATTTAAATTTGTGTCTCTTTTATTTTATCTATTTTTCATGTATTTTGTTGGTAGCATAATATTTACTAAAGGGTTTTTACTTAAGCGAGATGTAATTCCTTTAAACAGTAGCTGTCGTGTTGACTTTGCATCATACTGGGACGGAAAATCACACGGGGCAGAGGTGACCAGTTTTCTCTTTAAATTTCAACTGTAATAGTAACCGGACAGGAGTAGTTAGTTTATTTATTGTTTGGTTTTTGTCAAAATAACCATGACGAAACAAATTGGAAAGATTCGAATGTTTGATTGTGTCATGTATGATGAAGATTCAGGATTATATACCTCCATAGTTGTTGCTTTAGTTTATGTACTGCATGAAATACTGTAAATTGTAAAGAGAATATATAGATATCCAAATAAATTTATTTATGGGGCAGCACGAAATACCCAAATACACCCAAATATTGCCCAAATATATCCAAATATTACCAAATTATACTAAAAATAAATGTTTTCTACTAAAAAAGTGCTGTTTTAATCATGAATACAATATACACTTTCACTAAGATATAATCAAACATACCCAAATATACATTTTCCTATCATTGTGTTTTGAACCAAAATACTGTATATGTACTCTGTTAAAGCTATTTTTTTTTAAATAACATGGACACTTGTATACAATATGAAATTTCAACAAAATTACACCTTAAAATTGTTAGTTAAGACAAGAAATACCATATCCATATCTTGATTTAAAATTGCAAGTACATTCATAAAGAACCTATATAGTAGATAAGCAAATGTCACAACTTTATTTCCTTACAACATCTTAACTGCCCATTTCAACGGAATGAATAAAAGTTTTAGCAGGCTAAGTCATATTATTTTAATATGAAAAAGGCAAAGCCTCAAAGCGAGCTCGATGTACTTTTTACGTGAAATAGTATGAAACAATCTCAAATGCAGTGACGGGACGGAGTGCGTGTGACGTCACACGTACTGTGTTAAATATAAATATGACCCCGTCCCCAGAGATCTGCCGAGGACGCGATTTTGCGCCATTGGCGCTAAAAAAATGAGAATGGCGCAGGAAAATCGGCAGCAAAGGGCCATGGGCGCATCTAAAATCTGTGCCAGACTTATAAGAAAACAAAACTGTCTGCTGGGTTATTTAGTCATCCAGTCAAAACTGGTACCAACAGTAACATGTTACCCATGCTCCTGTAATTACGCATATTCTTTAGTTTATCCATTCCCCTATAGCTTTTGTCCATGTTGTCTACTTACCGCATTTCTTCTCATAATCCCTTTCCCACACAGATACTCATTTCTACTACCGTAAATTTAATCCAATAAACAAACAAACAAATTATACAAACTACTACTTAATATTTTAAAAATGATTATCGGTAACTGAAAAAAAAGTGTTGCTTATTTTAAGAAATACTGTAAGTTACAGTTATAATCTGACAGGTGTTCAACTTGATCAACCCTAAGGTCACTCAAGTTCACGCAAGTTTTGGCTGATGAAGTGTAAAAAAAGATGTATATTTCGTCATCAGAATGTTTGACAGGGTGATTAACCAATCAGAGAAACATTGTGCATGACTTTTTTCATGATCAAAATGTCTGTCGGCAAATGTCTTTGATGTATGCTGTCTACACAGAGGCATACAAGGGGCAATGAAATTCGTCAATATACAGTGGTAAGGGACATTTGGTGCAAAGTAGGAACAATTAAATGGATAATGCACAATATAAAATATTACAAGTAAGAACCAGCAATTATGTGAACAAATTTGGATATCAAATTTTTGAGCAGCCATTAAAAAAATATTTTCATTTTTGCCTGCAATTAATATTAGTTAGAAAGTTACCATGTAGGCATAATTTTTAATTATTGGTAAAGTACTGAATTATAAGTGAACCACTTGTCATAAAATATGATTTAAGTTTTATTACCTGGGAAATTCAATTACATGTATCTACAAACTTTTTAACAGTTATTTTGGTCAATGTTTACTTATTTTCCCAAGGCCCATACTTTGGTAAAAATGGCCCATCATTTTCAGACCAAGTGGGCCCAGGGCCCAGTACTTTCAAATTCTTGGCAGATCTCTGCCGTCCCTGTCGTGAAATGAATTACGAGTTTTGAAAACGTTGATAAAACTTTGTTTGTTTTATTTCACTCTATAATTTTTCAAGCGAAATAAAGATTATTTTAAGTGAAATAAATGTAAAACTTAAAGCGTTTGCGACATTAAAATAGCGCACTTGATTTGTTTGTTTTGCACGTGCTGTTTGGCGCTACATTGTGATGTCACGTAAACAATACTTTAAACGTCTGTACAGCGTTAACGACTGAATAAAAGATATTGGTGTTCGGATTCATTTTCTTAGTTAGACCATTTTCTTTCATTCTAGATAGTTTTCACAACAAAATTCGACAAAAAATTGTTTTTATTTATCAGATTTCAAACAAAATGGCGCCTTCGATTTTCATTTTTGTATTTTCTGATCGCAAGATCAGATAAATACATAGCTAACATCCACAGTCTGACACAAAATTTCCTAACAGTCCTAACAACGCAAAGTAGTTCTCACTCAAAACTGCTTAAAAACCACCAATTTAAAAGAAAGAATAATTTTTAATGTAGGCATTTAACGAATTACAGTGCATTAAAAGTTTAGATTAGTCAATAGAAATATGAGGTTACAATCACAAATTTCGCGGATGAATATCTTTTTACTCAATGAAAAATGTTCGGCTATTTCCGTAAAGCTTCGGATTATCATGAATATCATTTTAATCAATGAAAATGCTATTTTTAGCTATGCCGATTACCGAATACTCCAGAGCGTAGTACACAAATAAATCTGACTGTCGAGTAGTGGAATATATACATGTCGGACTGTTTTGGCGAGAAGATTTCCGATAAATTATTTTCATCAGTGTTAAACAACACTTTTACCGTGAACAAAATACCTCGAAATTAATAAGGATTACAAACACGAAATGGAAATTCTCAATTTAGAATTACATAATGTATTCGTTTTTATCCAAGGTTCATATGTATAACTTCGCCGTGGTGCAGAGGTAAGCGGTCTCGTTGAGGGTGTGAGAGGCTTATGGTTCAAATCCTAGTCGAGGCAATTCTATTTTTTTCATGCAAAATTCCATATGTAAATCTCAAAGTGTTCTAGAAGAAAATCAAAACGCTGTCGCTGCGTAAGATGAATTATAGTATATAAAAAAACTTATACAGGAAAGTACATACAGATAGTCAGTATGATTTAGATTGCAAAGATCAGAAAATACCATAGAGCTGCAGCCCTTTGATTTATACACAGCTTCCGTTATTCTGGTTCCCTGTCCAATTATGGTTCCCATAAACGTGCGCGGGTGACCAGTCTACACATCCGTATCAGTCAGAATTTCTCAGTTTTTATCGATATCTTTAAATTCGAAAGGTTGCGATGTCTCCAATTCGGTACTTTGGACGAAAGTTTTCAAAACCATGACTTAGCAGGTACTCGCGTTACCGTAAAGCTCGCTTTGCGAGCAGGCCCTTCGGGCCAGCACCTCAAGCTCGCTATAAATACATATTTATTTCTCATTGTAATCTATTTTTTATACAAAAAAAAATAAATATTGCTATATTTGGGTGTATTTTGGTATGTTTGGGTATTTCGTGCCGCCGAAATAATGCCCAAACAAAGACATAATGAGAAGGGAGTTAGTACTAACTCATACTGCCAGCCAAAAGTTGTCGCTATATCATAAGTGAGTTGTGTGTTTTTAGTTTTGTTTCCCTTTCTCCTGGAATATTTAAATGTATGCTATACAGACATTCGGCTCATTTGTCTCATCATTAATGGTAAAATTATCTTGAAATAATCTCCTGTTGATTACAAAGAAGAAAATTAATATCCATCATCTGCTTAATATATATTTTCTATAGATAAGATTACAGATATTATACACTGTATTGACAAAGGGAGTCACATGACCTGAAGAAGGTAAACATTCCCAATGCCCAGTGTTTATGTACATTTAAACTTGCTACACATTTTTAGCAATCAACATAGTAGGTGATTTAATGATAAATAATTTTATGCATGAATTCTTATAAAAAGAACAGACACTACAAAAAAGTAATTATCAAAAAAAATATTATTAAGCTTAAACTTTAAAAATAATTGATAGTACAGTTAAAAATAATTGATAGTACAGTTATACACTCCAGAGTAATTGTTTCATGTACATTTGTAGAAACAAATGTATCCTTTAGAGTAAATAGATAAAGCCTTGATTATGAGTCCTTTCTTTTTCTTGCATATCAGAAATTGATTGAAACAAGTCTAAGCTATTCATATTGTATGATTGAAACAAGTCTAAGCTATTCATTTGACATGTTCATTAATGTTTCCAGAGTTCACAGTGACAACTTTTGTGAAATTTTAACGCTTTAACCTGACCCACGCGGGTCAAGTTAGGAAACCGACATTTTATTCTTTATAAGAAGAGAAGTATTGCTCCTGCCTAGACTAGTGTATTCATTTTGAGGAAATTTACTCAATAATGAATGAAAAATTTAAAACAAAGAAATGAAAATTTTGCCTGTGTCTCCCTTTAACAGCATTTTTTGGCTTTGAACACTTTATATCTAAAGACATAACAGTAGTTTAAACTAAATTTACAATATTTATAAACACATTGAAAATTATTAATGGATAATTGCAACCTGGAAATAGACCTGTAATTATATCTGATACATGAGCTGATCAGTAATTAATGTGGTCAAGATGTGTAATTTTCTTCATTCCCCCTAGTAAAGTATAGTATTTTCAACAGCAGCCGTGTGTATGTTTACCCTCGATAGGGTTTGTCGATACAGTGTATTGGTTTTATATGTCAACAAGGGCCCCAGGTTCTAGTCCCTGTGAGGCAGCACAATTTTTCTCTCCTCCTGTGATATTTGGCACTCAATGTGGTGGCAGTTGAGCTATATCTCCGAGTCAGTTTACATTAATAGAATAAAATAAACAAATTTATTTAAGATGTTAGTTTAATAAATATAATTAATTCCTAATATTTCTTATATAAAAGTAAAATTCAATTTTTTCACTTCTGTTTATGGTTTAAACATATTTATTTACGCTTGATTGCTAAACAAGTTCTTGCAACTTATTTAAATCACTATGGAGTTTGCTTCCTGGAACCAACCACAGTGTTACCAGTACTGGTGTCATATGAATAAACATGGTTGTGATTCGATAAGGTTTCAAAGTCAAACCCATGATCCCTGGGTTGAGATGCAGACACCTTAACCACTAGGCCACTGCTCCACTTCTGTTTATGTATGTAAGATTCATTTTCAAAATTTTTCTTTTCTTGATTTCAGGGATGCTGGCTTCACCGACGTTTTGACAAAGCTGTAATTATTCTTATTGATGCCTTGAGATTTGACTTTATAGCCCCTACTAGCAATGCCAAAGAAAAACCATATATTAATAAAATGAAGACAGTACATGATCTTATTCAGCATAAGCCCAAGAATGCGAGACTTTACAGATTTACGGCTGACCCTCCTACTACAACTCTACAGAGGTTAAAGGGCTTAACTACTGGAAGTTTACCTACATTTGTTGATGCTGGATCAAACTTTGCTAGTGTAGAAATCACGGAAGACAATTTTGTTGATCAGTTGGTACGGTCAGGGAAAAAGATAACATTTCTTGGTGACGACACCTGGACAAATTTATTTCCAGGTCGATTCCATAGAGAATACCCATATCCCTCTTTTAATGTTAAGGATCTTCATACGGTTGATAATGGTGTATTAGCGAACATTTATCAAGAGCTACGATTAAAAGATTGGGATATCACAATTGGACATTTTCTAGGTGTGGATCATTGTGGTCACAGGTATGGCCCAAATCATCCTGTGATGGCAGACAAGTTAACGCAGATGGACGAGATGGTGCGGAACGTGACACAGAGACTTGACAAAGACACGGTGTTGTTTGTTCTCGGTGATCATGGTATGACTCAGTCAGGTGATCATGGTGGTGACAGTGATGAGGAACTAGATGCCGCGATGTTTGTCTACAGTCCATCACAGGTATTCTGTTTATCAGTTTAATCCGGAAGAATATTCCATTAAATATTTGCTTTGGTGATGAATTAGTCAGAGAGGGCTTAACCTGAAATACATATAATAATATACTTGATACATTATCAGAATTTCAAATATTTTTTTATGAACTTAAAAAAGTATTATAATTAAATATCTGTTTTACTTCTACCATAAACACTTTGTTAAATATAAAATAAGCCATTCTGAGAAATATAGTCATAAACAATGACATTTAAATTAATTACACATATTGTGTGTAATGGCACAGTCTAGATTGAACACTGAATTATTATTATATATGTATGTAAATTGTGTGTATATATAATATATTTACAGATAACGGCCTCTAAATATGAACCAGGGAAGTTCCAGACTGTATCCCAGATTGACTTGGTACCAACCATATCTCTTTTGCTTGGTATTCCAATACCATTCTCCAACCTTGGTACAGTTGTCACAGGTATGAACGTTTGTGTATTTTCAAATTATATAAATGCAATAGAGATTTTCTATTCAGTCTTGGTTCCATAAGCATAATATAAAATAATATAGCTATACATATACTTGTTAAGTTTATATGGATTATATATTTTAAATGAAATATATTATCTTATATGGACTATACATTTTTTTGTGTGTATTTCATTGAGACATGAGAACAATTATAAATATTTTCACAACTAGATGTGAACTATAATCATGCAAATCAAAAAAATCATTCAAGTTGTGGAAATACATATATGCAAGTTTCAGGTTTAGTTATCTCATTGAAAGTAAGAAATTTCAAGTCAGTACTCAGTAGTTCCCAATCATATCACGCAATTAATAAAAATTGCATAAACTTGTTTCACAGCTGAGCTCAAATATTTTTAAACTGAACTAGCCTTCAGGTTTTAAAACTTTTTTTTTGAGTTCTGTCTCAGATCTCAGGATTTTCATTGGACAATATACATTCTGTGCTGGTTTCTGACCAATCAAGTGACTGAGCTCAGAAAAATTCTTTACAACGTTGGACCCAAATTGTGTCATGGAAGTGAGATTTCAAATTTTAAGTTTAGTTAGTAAGATTTCGAGGAAAGTCTCGAGTCTGTATCACTTTTCTACAGTATTCTACCTGGCCCCAAGGAAAAGTGACATATAATAAAAAAATCAGATTATGGCCCCCAGCAGGGCTTTAATTTAAGCAGCTTACACCCCTAATTACATGACCAGCACTACCTCTTTTACATGTTGAACTTAACAGAAAGAAATCTATTTCTATGGTTTTTAAACACATTTCAGATTTGATGAATCACTGCAGCTGGTCGAGGGACTCGCACATTAAAGAGGTATACCATTCAGTGGAGGCATTACGTGTAAATGCTGTACAGATCAGTCAATATATCAACCAATATTTGAAAACATCGTCTGATCTTCCACCACACAAACTTCTTGTTCTTAACGAGCGTTTAAGAAACGCAGAAGTGCAGCTACAAACGTTAGTGACAAATATGTTTACAAATAGTAACGAGGAAAATGTTCATGAGAAGTTGCACTATTTAGAAAAGGAGTACAAAGAATATATGCACGAGGTAAAGAAATTGTGTAAAGAAGTGTGGGCCAAGTTCGATATGACATCGATCGTGTTAGGGCTAATTATTCTAGGCGTGACATTGTTAGTGAATATTTATTTGTTATATCTGGCGTCGAGTCTGTCTGAAGATAGAGATAACGGGACCATGATAATTGTGATTATATTGTCGTTAGTTTTTATCGCATTCTCATTAGTTCAGTCGTTTTATCTTAACGACGGTGCGGTGAACATCATGGCATATATTCTTGGACTGTTTGATTTCGTTGCTTTAGGGATGATTATACTGATTACCAGAAGTAATCTACAGAGATCGGAAAAGACACCATCAGATTCCTCAGTCTCGTTCTTGCTAAAAATCGGTAAAGCCTTAAAGACATCTATAGACAATAGTGTGATTGGGATAATCATACTTATAACTTGTTTGAGTTACTTTTCTAACAGTTTTGTTGTTTTTGAAGACGACGTCTGCTTATTTTTAACACAAACTTGTATATGGTTTTTCTATTCTAAAGTGATTTTGAAACTGTTGAAGGAAACTAAGTTTACCAAAGATCATTCAAAGACAAAATCTAAGTCATTAAAGCTGGACATTAAAAGATTTACTTCTCAGTCAGTGATGTTAGTAACAATACTCTCAATTGCTTGCAGTTGGTGCGTAAGATTCTCTGTTAATTTTCGTACTAAACGTGAAGAGCAAATGACTGAAGCTGAAGCAGCAGGGGAGACAACTGATACAAATATTGAAGCAAATAAGAATGTGACATATTTTTTTAGTGTGGCTTGCCTTCTAGTCAGTATTTATCTTCCACGTAAATGGCTTACAGAAAGTGGGAATCTCAATAGCGCAAGTTTTTCAACACTTTGTGCGCGATATTTAATGCCAGTGGCAGCCGTTGCAACAGTCTTGTACTGGGCAATGCAGCATCTTCCAAACAAGATCTTAGATTCTTTGCCAGTTTGGCAGCAAGTGTTACTTCCACAAACAGTGTATATTTCTTTAATGATCTCAATCGTTGCCATAGTAATGTTCCCTATGCTGGTATACACATTACCAAATCAGAAAAACCAAATGTCAATATCCTCTACACAAAACGGGAAGGATATCTTTCATAAAGTGTTTAAATATGTGAAAAGTAACTGGGAAAATGATGTTGATTCAAGTGATGATACATCAAATGATGTTCCGAAGGTTTTTGGTCTCGGAACTGTTTATTCTTCTGCGGTTATTTATAGCGGCACTGCCATTATTTTATTACTTACCTTGTTGCTAGGAGAGGGATTTTCTCCGAGTGTTCTCACAGCTATTTGTGGCATATACTGCTTTTTTGAGTTGTTCACGATATCGGTGAAATTGTGCGGAGAAAGTGATCTTTTACTTAACGGTCTGTTAACAGTGTGTTTGATGATGGGAAATTATTTTTATGGGTTTGGACATCAGGCAACGATACCTGCTATAAGGTTTGAAACAGCTTTTATAGGTTTCATTGGAGACTGGGAGAATAAAATCATCCCTGCATTTCTGATTCACTGTAATATGTTTGCTGCGGAAATATTGTTTACATTTTTAGTGCCATTGTTAACACTCTTACCTTGTACGAAAGGTGTGATTGCAGAATACTTCTCATTTTGGAGAGACAATCAAGGCGGCAACTGGCGCGGTGATTTCGTCATGCATGAAAACCAAAAAGTGTTCCGCCATCTTCAAATGAAGATGTTTTTCTCATTGTACCTTTTTCATGGATTAAAACTGACATCCAGTATTTTAGCAGCAGCTATTCACAAGCGACATCTAATGGTATGGAAGATATTTGTACCAAGATTTGTATACCAGGCAATGTCAAGCTTCACTGTCTTTGCTGTGTCGATCGTAGTCACTTTACTGCTTGCAAGAGTCAATTCTTCTATAACTAAATGGGCAGCAAAAATTAAACAAAAATCTTAATAAGCGCTGAAAAGCACAAACTTGAAGAACCCTCTTGTAACTGGTGTTTTATAGTGCTACAAAATAGATGACTAAATCAAAATAACATTCACTTTGCTATATAGATACGGTAACTAATTTATATACAGAGTCATTACTTCCAACTAGTCTTGATTGAGGTACAACACTTAAAATAGGTGTAAAAAAAGGAAATAAAAATTTATACAATAGATGTACCTGAGGTAACTGTTTGTTTATAGAATAGAATAAACAACATTATATATTGAATCTCTAATAGACTATTTGAAAAATATTTGTTCATGGCAAAAAGAAAATGAAGAGATTTTATTGAGAAGTTATTCACCTACGACAATAATTCTGTTACGCTTCTTTATCTATTAATACACCATTAGTATGTAATACTGATGATACTTGCCCAGCTTTGGTCAGAATCCATGGATATATGCCTGTCACCCTTGAAGATATCTATTTATAATATAGACTTACATAGTAAAGATGTCTTGAAAATATAAATTTTATATATACATGTAAATGAAGCAAAGGAAAGTTTGGTAAATATATTGTATATTGCCAAAGAAATGTTCACTATAGGAGTCACAGGACTTTGTGACCTTGTTATCCTCAAAACATGTTCTGCTAATGGACCACTACTCCTTTGATAAAACGTTATTATAAGAGTTTCAGCATTGTTATTTTAGATTTTGTTTACATGAAAAAACTAATTTGTATGTTGCATCATTTTGCAATTATCATGTAAATGATTAAAATAAATAATTAAGTGATCTGAGAGGAATTTTTGTGAAAAAAATAAATAAATGGTTTGGGCATTATTACTCATTATCAAAACAAAATTGATTGCCTCACAGGATCATGTCAGTAAAGGGAGGTAACTTATATTACTTTGTCAATAATCAAATCAGAGTTATCTCTTACAATGTGTAAATAGTTGCATTATTCTTACTTGTGTTTATCAAAAAATATTGCTATTATATAAAACCTTGGTGCATGCTTGTAATTGTAATTTTGGTGCTGTATTTTGTAATTTATTACAGTTTTGATAATTAAGTCATTAAAGCATTTTTATCATTATTGTTTTTCGTCTTTTATTTGTTATTCAAGACTTTATGTCAGCAAAGATAAGTTTGTTATATAGATGGCATGATTTCTGAATAGTTTAGCCATTAGAATAACCATATTGACCTGAGGGACACGATTAATATCACTTGTTGAAATCTACACAAATTGATGCTACATGTTAAATAAGCTCTGGGCTTTGTAGTGTCACACAATAAGGCTTAAATGTGTTTTCCTTTATAAGTGTATATAAGTCAAGTGACCCTGGGGCGGGCCCATATTGACCTCAGGGGCATGATTAATGTAAGTTTTGCAGAGGTTCACAAAGTAATGCAACATGCTAAATATCTTATCTCTTGGTATTTTAGTTTCACACAATAAGATGATTTTTCTATACAAGTCTATATAAATAAGGTGACACACTGGGTGGCATATATTGACCCAAGGGGCATCATATAAATAAATGTCAGTTTTTTTAATGGCCCTTAATGAAATGCTATATGCCACAGTGACTTCTGGGGCAGGTCCAATATCAACTTAAAATCGCTAACAGGTGGACGGACAGACGACCAGGTGCATATCAATAAACACCGAAACTGCTTTTGCTTATAATATTAATAAATTGATTAATAAAACAGAAGTTGATAATGACTTGTAGGGAAAACAGTAAAGCGCTGGTACAAAATCAACATTTACTTGTTAGAAAACGGATTGATCCCTATATGACCTAAATTGTCATATTCAAATTATCAGATCAGTGTATTACAATAAAATTTTACAACAACCTTAAAACAAAAAACAACAACAAAAAAAACATTAAAAAGCAAAACAAGTCAATGTTTGTGATTAAATCTATCGTTATTCAAGTTAAAGGTCAGATTAGAGATCTGTCAATTACATGTCAGTACGATATGATTGAAAAGAAAATATCAAAAAGAATTACAACTTTTTACACACTCGAAAAAAGGAATATCAAAATTAATGTACCTGGCAGTCCGTCCGTCTGTTAGGAATTTCGTGGCCACTTTGTATCATTTGAATCGATGAATTAAAACTACAGGGTAAAATTGTTAACATAATGATTCGCAGATTTGACTTTCCTCAGCACAAGATCAAGTTCTCAGTTATGATATACATGTATATATTTCAAAACATTGTGTCCAACCATGTGCAGAACCAAGGTTTGGATTTTCTCAGATCAAAATTTGTCACACCCGGGTGTCACTTGATTCATATAGGCTTTATTGAGGAAAATACATTTAAGTCTAATTTTGTGAAATGACAATGCCCAAAACTACAAGTGATATTAGTTTCACCCGCCTCGCTCCGAGTGTCACTTGATTTATATAGACTTATAAAGAATATACATTAAATCTTATTACGTGGCAAGTATCAATGTCTTATAGGCCTCTGCAAAACGTATATTAATCACGCCCCTCGAGTTAATATTTTTGCCTCACCTCAGGGATGACTTGATTTACATATACTTTTTAGAAAAAATACATCTAAGTCTTACTCTTTTAACATTTAATGCCCACAGTTTAGATATTGATCATGTTTCATCGCTTTGTGGACCTACACAAAATTGATACATATCATTCCCCTAGGGGCAACATTTGTCCCACCCTGGGGGTCACAAAGTTGATATAGAGACTCATAAAAGAAAACATATTTTAGTCTTATTGTGTGAAACTAAAGCGCCAGTTTGGATATTTGACGTACGGCAATGCTTAGTTGACTTTTACAAAAAGTTACAGAAATCATGATCCTTGAGTTGAGAGGGGGTCAGTTTATGTATACCCTGGAATTATAAACATACCTTGGAATTGTTTACTGCTAAGCTATCCCAGTAAATATTATTTTGCACATTAATTTTTCAAACATGATCTTTTTAGGGCAGCATACTATCCGAACTTAAAACCATGGCCAAGATCATATAGAGAACCACCCTACCATAGGGAAAAATACACGAGGAAGTGCCTTCTTTTATTTTGCTTATGTTTCTACGTTAATAACATCCTCCGTCTGTTATGTATCACCATTTTGACCTCAACTTTGCGCAGGATTTTTACCGCACTGTATACAGTAGTGTTCTACATTTTATGGCGTGCACTTGACTGAATACAGCTTTACTTTGACCCTCTTAGAATTCTTATAGGTGTGACACTGCAGCATAGGGATTGTATAACTGTACAACTTCGGCATATTTTTCCCGCACGCTGTAAGTGATATTGGGCCATGAAAACTGGTTTCAATAAATGAATCTAAAAAGAGGATTACAAATTCAAATTTTCGCAAATGAAAACAATTTTTAAGTAACCCTTTTTATTGGTCACAGCATAACAGAATGTTAAATTTTGGATTTATAAGAAACTTTTTTTCAGAAGGCAAATAAGAAAAGTAAGCTGTGAATATAAATTTTTATTTCTTGTCTTCAGTTGAATTGCAACATGTACACTAAAGTTGGATGAAATCTACTTCAAAGACATTTGTTTTCCTTGTATTTCTGAAAAAAAAAAAAACAACAACAGTAATTAAAATACTTGTTCCCACTCAAAGAGATTTCGGATTAGAAAATATCCTTTTCCTACATTTTTCAAAGTATCATCTAAATGTAAATGACAGAACCTAACGGCTCTTGGAATGAAAGAACACTAAAAAATGGGTATGTAGTAAGTTAATGCTTGTTGGAAAAGTTTTTTTATTATTTTGATGATATGCCTGCACGATACGGTCACGTGATCCTTACACAATAAATATTATATAAATATTGAATCTCTAGCCATATGAACCCAATGCATAGGATTTGAACTGCAAATCAATACGTCTTTGGATGGCATTTCTTCGTAATCAATTACTGGTTCATACGAGGTAAAGTCCTACCTATCACTAATTGACAAGGCCTCAAGCATGACACGTCGACGTTTGCATTTGCGATCAGAACACTTGATTTGTCCAATTTCTTGACACGTGCACACATTACATCTGTCATGGTAGCCTTCTCCGACTTGCAGTTCGCCGCCATCATGAGGATTTATACACGCTGTAAAAAGAAGACGTAAATATTTCATAATACCGCGGGTACACAGAAGAACTTTATGAAGCAATATAATAAATTGAGCCAATCAGAATTACATGTAACAAACATGCATGGTTCATTACCCAATGAGCACATGGATCAGCTTCCTAGTCGAGCCAAAGTACTTTGTTTTGATTAATTTCCGCCATGTACTGGCATGACGGAACTATGTACTAATCTGTTTTTTTTTTCTGTAAGAAAATCGCATGTTCTTCAAATATATCAGAGCAACAATGGGGTACGAAATGACATAAGACATACTGTTGTTTACTAAATTGTCATGATAAAACTTGTACCTTATAAGAAATCCGAGGCAAGTACTATTATGTAAATCTCTTAATGAATAATGTTTGAAATCTGGAATCAAAGTGATTCCTCGGAAGCATTAATCACAACAAAACTACAAGAGATTTGCAGACTCGTTTTGATTGTGTCTGTACATGAGGGATATTGTTAAGTGCAACATCCCTCACCCCCCCCCCCTAGCACCGGCTTGAGCGGTACTCAATTCTCAACACTTAATAGTGCTGTCATCAATGATCCCGAAGGACCAGAAAAATATAACAACATTTAAGTACGGGGCAACTTTTTACAGCCGACATATTCCTGGTAGCCTTTTCTAAAACCCCATACAGGAATAAGACAGAACATGATTTATTTTTTCGCATTTTGAATTTAGATTAATAAAGTCATTTACATGTATATAAATGTATATTGAATACTATTGTCTCAAGTCTCACGGCCATCTGTCGGCTTCATTTCTTTTCTGGTCGTTATAGAGTGCACCTAACCCAAGGTCATGGTAGGCAGCACTTAACCAAAATCATCCTTCCTGACTTGTTTCTAGCTCTAGAAGGCAATTTAGTTATACAACGGACTTCCCTATGGATGTAGTGAATAGCGCACTTTAAAAATGATTATCAAAGTCATAGATAATGTTTAAAGATACATTTAAAGCAGTCCAGGAAGCATTGCAAGGTTTTGTCGAGTTACTATACGCTCACTAAGTATTTAGAACATGGAGAGATTCGGTAACTACATATATAAACATTGTATACTAGCGTATAATTTTTGTACAAGAACAGTTAATATGCCTTCATCACAAAATGGATTTTACTTACTTTTAATAGGGAAGCTGAAAGCGGCAGTGACAAGGAACAAACACACTAAGACTTTCCTACCCAACATTAATGAGCCTGAAGTAAAGAATGAAAGATCTTAAAGTAGAGCGAATATAAATGAGGGCGGACAAAATATGACCAGTATATTAAGAAACACTAGATATATGGTAAATATCAACCAAGTTTACTCAGTGAAATACATGTTTATAAAAAGTTTGACGATCAAATCTTTTCCTATTAAAAACATTTCTCTTGAACAAACTATTTTTTATTAAGTTTAAAACTGCATCGTTTGGCACCGACTCCCCAGAGTCCTCCTTGGCAAAATCTTCTCACTATAGAATGAAATACATACTGTAGAATGAAATACATACTGTAGAGAATGAAATACAATATATTTCATTAAGACACATAGTTTTCACTCGGGATGCAACTTAAGTGTTTAACAACAATGTAAAAATAAATTAATTAAGTCATTATCCGTCGTACAAACAAACATTCCTTTTTAGAGCTAACCTCCTCGTTATTGTCACTAGTTACTGTACTTTTACGTGCTCATTGACCGCTGTACAGCGACCTACTCAAAATTCGTTTCTTTAGCTAATACTGATAATTGCACAGAGCTAAATTATCACCACTTTGTCCTTCGAAATTAACTCTTCAAGAGTATAACTGGTGACATGTCCGAGGTCCGTTTTCGGTAGCGAACGATGCTTTTTTGTGCCTTAACACTGGACCTTTATTTA